AATCCATGTTAGTGGAACTTTGAGGTGTCAAAATTTGGTTTAACCAAACTTGCATGCTTGCCAAATAAACCCCACAAGTTTGAGTGGAATTTTGAGTGCCAAAATTTGGTTAACTGAAACATGCATGCTTGCCACATAATCCCAAACATTTGAGTGGAATTTGAAGTGTCAAAATTTGGTGATCTCAAATTTGCATGAACATGCAAACATGACTCTTTAAATAGAGTGATCATGGTACATGGAAGGTCTTCTTCTTCTGGGTAAAAAAACCTTGAGAAAAACCTCTCACAAACACTATCTTCACATATACAAAATCCCTCCCAAGTTTAGTCACTCACCGGATTCCACAATCCCGTTCTAAGTCCGGAGGATAGTGGAGAAGACACTAATGGTGGTTCGAAACCGGTTCGTGAGGAAAAATGAGTTTGAACTACAAAAGGTTAGTATTTAAACTCATTAAGTTTTAATACTTATGAACATGCTAGTTATTTACTATAATTGATGTTCTAAAAGTGCCTAAGATCCAAATTGCTTCCGCATGTGTTATATTGACACCATCAGGTTAGTAGTTAAAGGATATTCACAAAGAAAAGGCATTAAATATGTTGAGATCTTTTCTCCTATTGTGAAATTAACTACTATTTGAATTCTGCTGAGTATTGTTGCATCGGAGAATTTGCACCTTGAGCAAATGGATGTAAAAACGACGTTTTTACATGGAGATTTAGATAAGGAGATCTATATGCAACAACTAGAAGGGTTTGCAGCTCCAGGCAAGGAGCACATGGTGTGTAAGCTCAATAAGAGCTTGTATGGATTGAAACAAGCACCGAGACAATAGTACAAGAAGTTTGGCTCCTTCATGTGCAAGAGTGGTTTCCACAGCAGTGAAAAGAATCAGTGTTGTTACCTCAAGAAATACATTGATTCTTATGTGTTTTTACTCTTGTATATGGATGATATACTGATTGTTAGATCGAGTATGAGGGAGATAAACCACATGAGGGAAAGCTTGTCTTCAGTATTTGAGATGAAAGATTTGGGTGCAGTGAAGCAGATTTTTGGGATGAGGATTTCTCGAGATAGATCTGCTGGCACATTAAATCTATCCCAAGAGCAGTACATTGAGAATGTGTTGTCCAAATTCAAGATGAATGATGCTAAACCCAGAACTACCCCCTTGGCAAATCGTATTAAATTGTCAAAGGGGCAATCTCCCAAGACAGTTAAGGAACGTGAGCACATGACATCAGTTCCGTATGCTTCCGTAGTTGGGAGTTTAATGTATGCTATGGTCTGCACTAGACCTGATATAACACATGCAGTGGGAGTTGTTAGCAAGTATATGGCAAATTCAGGGACAAAACATTGGGAAGCTGTGAAGTGGCTTCTGAGATATCTGAGAGGTACATCCAATACTTCACTCTGTTATGGCAATGACAAAGTATGGATGCTGATCTGAGTGGAGATGTAGACTCTAGCAAGAGCACATCTGGATATATCTACACTATAGATGGAACAACAGTGAGTAGGATGTCCAAGCTTTAGAAATGCGTTGCTTTTCATCTACTGAAGCTGAGTACGGGGCAATAGCTGAAGCTAGAAAGGAGATGATAAGGATGATAGACTATCTAGAAAAATTAAACATGAAATAGTGCAAAAAGATTTTTTATATAGATAGTCAGAGTCTCATACAGTTGGTGAAAAACTCAGTCTATCATTCAAGGACAAAACACATTAGAAGGCGATACCATTTCACTCGTAGGTTAGTAGAAGAAGGTGATATGTGTTTGGAGAAGATAGAGGGTGCAAAGAATCCAGGAGACATGCTGAGAAAATGTGTTGATGTTGGAAAATTGAGGTTATGCAAAGCCTTAATTGGTATGGTGCAGTGATCGTTTGAGAATGAAATTCTTGGTTTATTGGATCAATCTATAAGTGGGAGAATTGTTAGGTTATGGAGCCGGCTACTTATTTATAGCTTGGTCAACGGTTATATATAATAAAGTTATATCCCGATAAAGCTATATATGGTAAATAGCTATATATAGTAGATGGTTAAATCTGGTAAAACTATATATAGTAAACGGAATCATATATCTCCTCTTAGGCAGAGCTTTGAGAATGTAGTTTCTTTTCTCTGTATTCTCTCTTATGCATACTCATCAATACAAATCCTTTAGCCAGACTTCTCCTTACCTTCTCTCTCTCTCCTATTTCTTTATGTTCATCTAGATCGAGTGTGTGGTGTTGTGCGATCCTAACATACAGGAACTTGCTCAGAGGACCCGAGAGTTACGTTGGCCACAATGCATCTCATGGATGATGCAAAACTATGGTGGCGCTGGAAGGTGAATGATATCCAAAATGGATCATGCACCATAAACTCATGGGAAGACCGTTCATGGAATCGATGCAATTGATCCTCCTCGGGATGGGTTGCCAATCAAAGAACTGATGTATGGGGTTGACTCCTTAGAAGAAAGAGCCGCATGATCGAACAACTCAGAACGTGGAGGTAGCTCTGAGAGCTCTATCACACACATGGAAGGACGTGCCGAAGAGTTAGACATTACACAAAAGACCATGCTGAAACTCTTCAGCGATCAGAGTAAAGACTCCAAGACAATTACACCAAAAATCCATTGTCGTCCAACGGTTAGGATATCTGGCTTTCACCCAGAAGACCTGGATTCAATTCTCGGCAATGGAATTTTATTTTCTTATTTTTTTGTTTTATCGTTCCGAAGGCACTATACTGGACTAGTTCAATAGTATCTTAGAGTGAAAAGACTTTTATGAACTTTGTATTTGTGTTATGTTATATATATTTGGTTCAAGCTCAACAAGTGGGGTTGAGGTGATTCAAATAGTTACTGTGATAATTCAGTTAAACGGTTACCGGTTGTTTTGGGGTTGAGGTGATTCAAATGGTTGATGTGATAATCCAGTTGAACAGTTATCGGTTGTTTCCAAGGTCTCTCTTGTTGAACGCCATCATGGCTGAGATGAGCACCAGAGTGAATTTGACAATGAGGGTCGTAAAAAACCACACCCCAAGCCAACCTCATGTCGGGCTTAACAAATTGAAAATCGAAGAACCCAAAGCCTTCAATGGGAACCGGGATGCCAAAGAATTAAACTTTGTTTTTGACGTAGAACAATAGTTCAATGCTACAGGAACTTGCTCTGAGGACCTGAGAGTTATGTTGGCCACAATACATCTCATGGACGATGCAAAACTATGGTGGAGCTGGAAGGTGAATGATATCCAAAATGGATCATGCACCATAAACTCATAGGAAGACCGTTCATGGAACGATGCAATTGACCCTCCTCAGGATGGGTTGCCAATCAAAGAACTAATGTATGGGGTTGACCCCTTAGAAGAAAGAGTCACACGATCGAACAGCTCGAAACGTGGAGGTAGCTCTGAGAGCTCTATCACACATATGGAAGGACATGTCGGAGAGTTAGACATTACACAAAAGACCTTGTTGAAACTCTTCAGCGATCTGACTAAAGACTCCAAGACAACTAATCCAAAATTCCATTATTGTCCAGTGGTTAGGCTTTCACTTAAGAGACTTGGGTTCAATTCCTAGCATTGTTTTTATTTTTTTTTTAATAGTTTCAGAGGCACTAGTTCAGTAGTATCTTAGATTGAAAAGACTTTTATAAACTTTGTACTTTTGTTCGTGTTATGTTATAGCTATTTGGTTCAAACTCAACAAGTGGGGTTGAGTTGATTCAAATGGTTAATGTGATAATCCAGTTGAATAGTTACCGGTCGTTTCCAAGGTTTCTCTTGTTGAACGCCATCATGACTGAAATGAGCACCCGAGTGAGTTTGACAATGAGGGTCGTAGAGAACCACACCCCAAGCCAAGCTCATGTCGGGCTTAACAAACTGGAAATCCAAGAACCCAAAGCCTTCAATGGGAACTAGGATGTGTGGGTTTGAGGTGATTCAAATGGTTAATGTGATAATCCAGTCGAACAGTTACCGGTCGTTTCCAAAGTCTCTCTTGTTCAACGCCATCATGACTGAGATGAGCACCCTGAGAAGAGGCAACCAAGGAGCAAGAAGAACATTATATTTATATAGTTGTGTAATTTTATTTAATCCATAGAGAAGAACAAATAATTTAAATTTAAATGGGGAAATAAAAACAGCCGTAGTAGTACATGCAGACGCTCGCCGGCTCAAACCCCAAAATCACTTTCCCACACGTGCGACCACAGAAAACATTATATACACACGTGCCAACCAGTCCATGTCCCACGTCAAAAACCCACTTCTAACGTTCCCTCCACATGCCCCTTCCTTCACTTGGAAGGCTTAATTTTTTAAATTATTTATTTTCCACCTCAACATTTTTATATTTCATTTATTTTATAAAATTAAAAAATCAACTCCACTCACACCAATAAAAATATATTTAATTTTTATTAAATAATAAATTAATGAGATAAAAGTGATTTTTTATAAAAATATTTAGTAATTTATCCCCCATTTTAAATATATATTTTAAAAAATTACCTTCTAAATAATAAAAAATAATTTTAAAATGTTTGAATATTTATAAGAAGACTATTTATTTATTTTAAAAATATTTAGTTAAGAATTACGGAATATATATTTTAAAAAGTTAAAAATTATATTTAAATAATAACAAAAATATGTAGATATATAAATATGGTAAGAAAAAATATTTTTTTTTTAAAATTAATATTAAATTTGAATGGTTCCCGTTTCTATTTATTTAAACTTAATATAACTGGAATAAGTTCATAATCGTTCATTAAAAAAAAAATTAATTATTGAGTTTTTTTTGGATAAAAATTATATAAGAAAAATTAAAATAATTATTTCTTATAAAATAGAACAATTTTAAAACTAAATAAAACAAAATAAATGTGAAAAAATAAAATAAAAGAAAATAAAAAAGGAAAAAGTACAGTTCTCTTGACTTTGTATATACTCCTCTTCAGTCATCAGATCCTATCCCACAGCCCCAAAAAACCCACTCCCTATAATCTGCTCTTCTTTCTCTCTCTCTCTCTCTCTTCTCAAACCCACCTGCATTTCTCTTTCTTCTCTAATGGGGTTTCTTTTTTCGCCCTCTTTTCAAGAATGCCATTGAAGGGGTTTTGAAAATCATCGTTTGGTACTCTCCTCTGTTCTTACTCTGCTTGTTTCTGTGCTGAATGAGCGAAAATTTGTTGGGTTTTCGCCCGTTTTTCTGTGGATTACACTCTTTTTTGGGTTTGTTTTTGTTTTGTGTTCTTGGATCTGTGCTGTTTATGAACTCACTTGCTTGCATTTTCATTTTCACTTCAGGCGTTGAGGGCTTTTCAGATCTGAAGCTTTTGAAGACTTGACGAAGATTCTCTCCTTTTCTTTAAGGATTTGGGTTTATCAGGTGAAATTTCAGACTCCTTTACGGTTTTTCTGAAGAATTTGGGGGTTTTTTCATGTTTTATGGCATCTAGAGATCGATTAGTGTTCTTGCACATGATGTGTTTGTTTAAAGTCCTACGGCTTTTTTTAGTTCGGATTTTGAGTATGTTTTTGGGGTTTTTTTTAGGTGTGTTTGAAAAATCAATTGAACTGCGATGATGATGCAAAAGCCTCCACCAGAGGATTTCTTACTGAAGGAGACCAATCCCCATCTTGGTGGGGGGAAGGTCACTGGTGACAAACTAGCAAGTACCTATGACCTTGTTGAGCAAATGTATTACCTCTATGTTCGGGTCGTGAAGGCGAAAGACTTGCCCGGGAAAGATATCACAGGTAGCTGCGATCCGTATGTGGAGGTTAAGCTTGGGAATTACAAAGGGACGACTCGGCATTTCGAGAAGAAGTCGAATCCCGAATGGAATCAAGTGTTTGCGTTTTCGAAGGATCGGATTCAGGCTTCGGTGCTTGAGGTGACTGTGAAGGATAAGGATCCTGTGAAGGATGATTTCATGGGGAGAGTTCTTTTTGACTTGAATGAGGTTCCGAGAAGGGTACCGCCCGACAGTCCTTTGGCACCACAATGGTATCGGTTGGATGATAGGAAAGGGGACAAGGTGAAAGGGGAGCTGATGTTGGCTGTTTGGATGGGAACACAAGCAGATGAAGCATTTTCCGAGGCTTGGAATTCAGATGCTGCAACTGTGAGCGGAGCCGAAGGGATTGCGAATATTCGGTCTAAGGTTTATCTTTCTCCTAAGCTTTGGTATTTGAGGGTGAATATCATTGAAGCTCAGGATCTGCAGCCGAGCGATAAGGGTAGGTATCCGGAGGTTTTCGCTAAGGCTATACTTGGAAATCAGGCGTTGAGGACTAGAATATCCCAGTCTAGAACTATCAATCCAATGTGGAATGAGGATTTGATGTTTGTGGCAGCTGAACCATTTGAAGAGCCTTTGATTTTGAGTGTGGAGGACCGGGTTGCACCTAACAAGGATGAGGTCTTGGGACGGTGCGCAATTCCGCTGCAGTATATCGATAGGAGATTGGACCATAGAGCTGTGAACACAAGATGGTTCAATCTCGAGAAACATGTCGTTATCGTTGAAGGGGACAAGAAGAAGGAAATCAAGTTTTCGAGTAGGATTCACCTGAGGATATGTTTGGAAGGTGGCTACCATGTTCTGGATGAGTCAACACATTATAGTAGCGATCTTCGACCGACGGCAAAACAGCTCTGGAAGAACAGCATAGGGGTTTTAGAATTGGGGATTCTGAATGCTCAGGGGTTAATGCCGATGAAGATGAAAGACGGACGTGGAACAACCGATGCATACTGTGTTGCCAAGTATGGGCAGAAGTGGGTTCGAACCAGGACGATCATTGACAGTTTCATTCCCCGGTGGAACGAGCAGTACACTTGGGAGGTTTTTGATCCCTGTACCGTCATTACAATTGGCGTTTTCGACAACTGCCATTTGCAGGGTGGGGAGAAGGCTGGAGGATCGAAAGATGCACGAATAGGGAAGGTAAGAATTCGCCTCTCCACGCTTGAAACCGACCGAGTATATACTCATTCATACCCTCTGCTGGTTCTGCACTCGAGCGGGGTGAAGAAGATGGGCGAGATTCATTTGGCCGTGAGGTTTACATGCTCGTCCTTGTTAAACATGCTGCATATGTATTCACATCCCCTCCTCCCCAAAATGCACTATATTCATCCGTTAACAGTGAGCCAGCTCGACAGTCTTCGGCACCAGGCGACTCAGATCGTGTCGATGAGGCTGAGCCGTGCTGAGCCACCGTTGCGAAAAGAGGTTGTCGAGTATATGCTCGATGTCGGCTCCCACATGTGGAGCATGAGAAGAAGCAAGGCGAATTTCTTCAGAATCATGGGAGTTTTCAGTGGACTGATTGCTGTTGGGAAGTGGTTTGATCAGATTTGCAATTGGAGAAACCCAATTACCACTGTTCTTATACACATCTTGTTCATCATCCTTGTCATGTACCCTGAACTCATTCTCCCCACAATTTTCCTCTACCTGTTCCTAATAGGAGTTTGGCACTATAGATGGAGGCCAAGGCACCCTCCTCACATGGACACCCGCCTCTCCCACGCCGACTCCTGTTACCCCGACGAACTCGACGAGGAGTTCGACACCTTCCCTACGTCTCACCCGGCCGATGTTGTGAGAATGAGGTACGATCGGCTGAGGAGCATCGCGGGCAGGATCCAGACGGTAGTCGGGGACCTAGCAACGCAGGGGGAAAGGTTTCAATCTCTACTCAGTTGGCGCGACCCGAGAGCGTCGGCATTGTTTGTGATCTTCTGCCTGGTTGCTGCCATAGTTCTGTATGTTACACCATTCCAAGTTGTGGCGCTTCTGTCGGGGATTTACGTGCTGAGACATCCGAGGTTTCGGTACAAGCTGCCGTCGGTGCCGCTCAACTTCTTCCGGAGGCTGCCAGCCAGAACGGACTGTATGCTATGATTGGTACGCAGAATAAGAAGAAGAAGAAGAAGAAGAAGAAGATGAAGGTTTTGTTTTGTGTAATATGAATGATGGGGGCATTTTTTGGGCATTCAAGAGTTAAAATGTGTATGATGATGATGATGATGATGGCCTTGGCAGTTTCTATTTATGGATTTGTATTATGTTTAGTATCTTTTCAATACAATTTCAAGTGTTTCTCAACTCTTCTTCTTCTTCTTCAACTCTTCCATTTTGTACATAATGGATAAGCGCAAGCGTAAGCGTGTGATATTGTCTACTTTGAGCATAAGCATTTTACACGTTTTATATCAATGGAGATGTATTTTTCACGTAAACCCATGATTATCTTCTTAATTGATCAACGTGGAACTCCTCTCCCAATAATTCTCAATAATCATTCCCTCGAACAAATTACACCATAGAACCTCCCCTGAGGCCTATACAGCTCTCGAACAATCTCCTCTTAATTGAGGCTCGACTCCTTCTCTAGAACTCTCGAACAAAGTGCACCTTTTGTGACTACACCGTTTTAGGTGTTCAAGGTTTCATGAGTTTTAGGTTTATTTTATTTGTGTCTAAATGTTTTTAAATAATTAATTATTTATATTTAAAATTTCAAAATTAAATATATTAATTTAGTTTCTACTAGGTATTTGATATTTTAGTCCTAAAGATTTGATCATTTTATAAATATAGTTTATCATTAATTAATCTAACCATACATTATAACCAATTTCGTATTTTTAAAATTTTTGGACGCCACTAATTTTAACATAAACATCACAAACCTTTATCAACTCATTAATTTTAATAAAATAAAAATTTTGTACAAAAAAAAAATGAAAATTTTATTAGATACAATTTTACAAGTTTACTAGCCTTCATATTTGTGGCTTTCACTTTAAAACGCGTAAAAACAGTGTTTCATTCTCCTTCTCAACTAATGTGGGATATCATAATTCACCCCTCTTAAGGGGCTCAACGTTCTCGCTGACACTCATTTCTTTCTCCAATCGATGTGGGACCCCTGCCAAATCCACCCTCCTTTGGGGCCTAGCGTCCTTACTGACACACCGCCTCATGCCCACCCCCCTTCGGGAGAACAACCTCCTCGCTAACACATAGTCCAGTGTTTAGCTCTGATACCATTTGTAACGGTCCAACCCCAAGCCCACCGCTAGTAGATATTGTCATCTTTGGACTTTTCCTTTCGGACTTCCCCTCAAGGCTTTAAAACGCATCTACTAAAGAAAGGTTCCCACACCCTTATAAAATGACATTTCGTTCTCCTCCCCAACCAACGTGGGATATCATAATATTAATATTATTTATTTATTTAATTAATTATTGAAAGCAGCAGCCAAAATGTGCGCTGTCAATCGGTAAAAAGCAAAGCTAGGTTCCTCATTATTTTAGTGAAAAGGACAAACCTTCCCAATGCATTCTCAGCCTATGCATTTGGACGCTTCCACGTTACCTACCCTAATTTATTATTTATTATTCTACCCACTTTTTTTTATTACCAAAAATAATTAAAATATTTGTTAATTTTTAAAGTTCTCAATTAAAAAAATATCTTTATTAATTTTTTTTCATTAATATATGAATAAAAACCCCGATCTACGTCTCCGTCTCGTATACCAAGCATATAATTGCGACGTTAAATCAACCGTCATGCTACAATTAATGACATAACTATAACACATCAATTTCAATGCTACGAAACATTGAAGGCTAAAACTCAATCACAATAAATGTCATTTAAAATAATTTTTTTTCTTATATTATGCATGAACAGTGATAGGGCACCGACAGTTGGACTATGGAACGTGTCAAGCATACATCGTAAGCTAGTCTACAAGTTCTGTAACGTAGAACTCGGATACTAACTGTATCAACTCTAGACTTCTACTTTGTTAAAGTTGCTACTGTATATATATCATAGGTCTTACATGTTTTTTATAAGGCCTATATGTTGTTAAATGGAAATGCAAACTAACCTATACTAATGGATGCGACGGTGAGGTGTTACAGGTGGTTGATGCGACGGTCTCGGGTAGTGGGTGTTGGGCTGCAGACGCGGGTATTGGGTATTCCATTTACAGATTTGGGTCTCGAAGTGTAGGCTTGGGTCGAATGGATATTTGGGTTGTAGGTCTGGTTATTCGATTTAGATCTAATCCAAGATCCACGGACTTCGTTTTCTTTATCCGATTTGCTCATGAAAATTCGACGTCTTTCTCTCTCTTCCAAACGACGTATGTTTTCATTCTCTGTCGTTCCTCTGTATAGATCTATCTTTTTCCTCTTCCCTATGACTTGTCATCTTGTTTCCACGGCGTTCGTAAGACTTGTAAAACCAATTCTGACGTTACCTTTCTTTTTTTTTTATTATCCCATAACATCACACTCTGTCAACAGCCAAGAAAATTCTATAGATACTGAGTGTAAACATCTTACCTTGAGTAACCTCAGAGTCACTGACGCCTCGTGTTTTTCTCGTCATGTGTTAGATCCAATTCTTCCCTTCTCACCGACGATGTATCTCTGCAAAGGCTCTGGAGGTCGGGAGGACCATGATTTAGTTGGGACACGAGAATTTCGACATTCGTCGAAATTCTCGAGTTTTAATCAAACAATCTAATTATTCGATAGTAATTTTTTAAACAAATAAACAAATACATACGCCTTTTAACATGTGTGAAATAACTTTATTAGTGGTATTAAAACAAAAATCTTAATTGATTGTATAAATGTTACGAACCACGATCTTCCAAGATGGTGTGATATATATATACATACATACATATATACATACATACATATATATACACCTACATACATACATACATATATATATATATATATATATATATATATATATATATATATATATATATAAATATAAATTGGAGGTGCCTCCATAATTGAAATATTAAAAAGACAAACATTTCTCAGGGAGAATCTTCAAATAATGGCTAAAAAAACACTACATTAACAAAACAGAAAATTGCAACTATAATTCAAATAATTGAATTCCTATGAATGATAAATTAATTAAATTATTACTTTCTCTTAAAAAAAAAAAAAAAAACTTTAAAATTTTCAAAAGTTCGAGTAATACACATTTGTTCAAAATTACAATTACAGGCAGGGTTTAAAAAATACTCTTAAAATTTAAAAATCAGTATTGACACTCTCTACGTTTATAAAAAAAACTTCAATTTTTTTTTTTACCATTTATCTGTCGGTAACAACAAAAAATTGAAGTGAGATTGAGAGGAGTAATTTGAATGAGATGGGAAGGGAGGTCCTTTGATAGGACTCGATTTCATTGATTCCCGGAGTTGGTTGGGATTTTTGTGGATGAAATTGAATTCACCTCCTCCTCTGTAGCAACTAAATTCAAATTTCTATTATTAGCTTCAACCTCCTCCCTTAAACTGAATTCTACAGAAATCAGTTTAGGACTTCACTTCATCTTCTTGATATACATCTTGGATTCTGCACATCCCCATCTTTCTTCTAAGCTTCTCGAACAATGGTTGTTTCAAGGGTTTTGTGAATAGGTCTGCGATTTGTTCATCACTTCGGCAAAAGTTGAGTTCAATAATGCCTTCTTTACACAAATCACGCAAGAAATGAAATCGAACATCGATGTGCTTACTCCTTCCATGCAACACAGGATTTTTGGACAACTTAATAGTTGACATATTATCACAAAATATAACCGTCGTACCTGGTTGCTTCTAATTAAGAATTTCAAGCATTTTTCTTAACCAAATTGCTTGGCACGAGCATGCTGCTGCTGCCACAAATTCTGCTTCTGTAGTTGAGAGTGTTACAATAGGTTGCTTCTTTGAAGACCAACAAATAGCTCCTGAACTCATCATGAAAATACAAGTACTTTTACGATCATCTATATCACCTGCATAGTCGCTATTTGTATAGCCAACCATCTTCGGATCATCTCCTTTCTTGTAGAATACCCCCAAATCAAAAGTTCCTCTCACATAACGAAGTATCCTTCTTACTGCATTGAGATGTTTTTCCCACAATTTGTTTGAAGTACCTATTATCAACCTCTCGCCCTTCAATATCCTTGTGCAACTTCAAACCCAATTTTGATGGAGTTCCAAATGTGCTCTCATCCAATTTAAATCTTTCAAGTAATTCTTGAGCATATTTCTTCTGACAAATAAAGTTACATGTGGGAGTTTGAGTAACTTCTACTCCAAGAAAATATCTCATCAAACCAAGATCTGTCATTTCAAATTCCTTCATCATACTCTTCTTAAAAAATTCAAACATTTCTTCATTATTGCTAGTAAATATTAAATCATCAACATATAAGCAAATAATGATAATATTACCTCCCTTTTCAGTTTTCACATACAATGTATGTTCGTACAGGCATTTAGTGAATCCCATCTTTTCAAAATGAGAATCAATGCGACTGTACCATGCCCTCGGAGCTTGCTTCAAACCGTACATATACCTCTTCTTGAAGCTCTCCATGTAAGAAGGCCGATTTCACATCAAGTTGATAAATAGGCCAAGATTTCTGTGCTGCAATAGAAATTATGAGCTTGATAGTATCTTGATGTGTCACTGGTGAAAATACCTCCTTATAATCAATTCCGTACTTCTGCTTGTATCCTTTTGCAACGAGTCACGCCTTGTACTTATCCACCTCACCGTTTTCATTCAACTTGGTTTTGAAAACCCATTTTACTCCGATTGTTTTCTGCCCTCTAGAAAGATCAGTGAGCTCCCAAGTTTTGTTTTTCTCTATGGATTTGATTTCACTGTCCATAGTTTCCTTCCATTTCTTCTCCTTTACCGCTTCTTCATAGACAATTGGACCACTATCCATAAAGAATGCAAAATAACTGCTATCACTTGATTCATAGTCCATCTCATAATCAATCATCCAATTTGGTCTCTTTCTTGTTTTTGGATTTCTTTGATTATGATCATGATCTTCTTCTACTGGTTCTTCTTGTTGAGCTTGTGATGAGCTCTCTCCATGCTCATAGTGAGGTTGAATAGGGACTTCAGTTTGTTCTTCTTCAAGATCTACAGGAATCTGCTGATTCACAGTGATATTTTCTTCCCATGTCCAAGTCTTCTTTTTGTCAAAGACTACATCACGACTTACCACCACTTTCTTTGTCAAGGGATCATAGAGCTTGTACGCCTTAGAGGCCTCGCTTACTCCAAGGAACACACACTTCAAACTCTTGTCCTCAAGTTTCTTCCTTTTCTCATCAAGAACGTGCGCATATGCTATGCACCCAAAGATTCTAAAGTGGTCTACTGCAGGTTTTCTTCCGCTCCATGCTTCTTGTGGAGTCATATCTCTAACAAAAAACTTCGAACCATGTTGAGAATGGTCCTGTTTTTTCTTTCGGCCACACCATTTTGTTGTGGTGTATATGCTGTTGTTAACTGCTTCCTTATGCCCTTCTCTTCACAAAATTTAATAAACTCGTTCGAGCATAACTCTCCACCTCTGTCAGTTCTTAAAGCCTTGACTCTTTTTCCAGTTTCGGTACAAATTTTTTTGAAGCAATCAAAGGCTTCTGATTTGGCGTGCAAGAAATAAGTTCATGTTTTTCGATTAAAATCATCGATGAGGGTCATGAAATATTTCTTGTCACCATTTGATGCTGGAGAGATGGGACCACATATGTCTGAATGAATCAACTCCAAAATTGCTTGAGCTCTTCTTGATTTTCCGGATGGAAAAGAATTTCTTTCATGTTTTGCTACTACACAACTCTCGCAAATTTCTGTTGGAGGAGTAATATCTGGCAACCCAGTTACCATCTTCTTTGTAGACAACGTCTTTAATCCTTTGAAGTGTAGATGACCATACCTAAAATACCAAAGCCAGGTGGTATCTTCTTTCTTCACCATCAAACTTTTGGCAACGATATTTAACGTCAACGGATATAGACGGTTGGTGGTCATCTTCATCTTAGTAATCAATCCTCTTTGGAGTCATAAATTTCACATTCATCATTTTGGAATGTGATCACATACCCCTTTTCTTGTAAGGGTCCGATACTAAGTAAGTTGACCTTCAGATCAGGAATGTAGAATACATTAGAAATAGACTCTACAAAGCCATTTCTAGTCTTGATATCTACCGTTCCTTTCCGTATCACTTGGATAGTTGAATTGTTGCCAAGAGAAACCGTAGTATGAAAATTTTCATCCAAAGTTGAGAAGAATTCCTTACCACCTGTCATATGGTTGCTGCATCCAGAGTCTACGACCCATACACCTTGATCTGCAACCTTCATAGCATGGAATGACATTAACAATGTTTCTTCTTCTCTTCTCTCCACAAAATTGGATTGATCTCTTTTCTCCTTTTGGAACCTAGTATAACATTCATTTTTGTAATGTCCAAGGCGTCCACATCTGTAGCATTCCACCTTAGACTTGTCAAAGTGTCTCCTTTGTTGTCATAATCGTTTCTGACTAGATCTGCTGACCTGCCAACATCTCCACTTCTTTCTTGACTGCCTCTCCCACGACCTCTGCTTCTTCTTTGCCCTCTACCTCTAGGGCTTGAAGTTTCACCTGGTGTGGATATCTTTAAGGCTGTCATCTCCTCTATTGCACTTGTATGATTGAGTCTCTATTCATGTACTAATAGGGAGCTTTGGAGTTCATCTATTTGCATCTCCTCGAAATTGTTTGCTTCTTCGATAGAACATACAATGTAATCGAACTTTGGAGTTAGTGATTGCAAAATCTTTTCTACGACCGCAACATCCGTGATTGAATCACCATGCATCCTCATTTTAGTTGCAAGACTTGTAACCTTGCCAATATAATCATTCACCTTTTCTTCCTTTTGCATTTGGAGAATTTCAAATTCTCTTCTGACGGCTTGTAGTTGAGCACGTTTTACTCTCGTTGAGCCTTGATACTTTCTCCTCATAAAATCCCAATTCCTTGGATGTCTTCTTCTGAAGCATTGTTTACAAGATAGTCCTATCAATGGATTGAAATAAATAGTTCTTGACCTTCAGGTCCTTCAACTTCGATGCTGCCAACAGTTGTTGTTGACCAGCTGAGAGTACCTCGCCTTCATTTGGCTCTTCATAACCCGTCTCCAACATATCAAAAAACTATTTTTTAATATTACTTTTAAAAATTACTTATTATTAGCTTCAACACTATTGACCAGCTAGATGAAACTGTTGACCAGCTAGATGAAATTGAATTCTCCTCGTTCTCCGTGCTAACTAAATTCAAATTTCTATTATTAGCTTCAACACTATCCACATCTCATAGATTATCTTTAAACCTTTTAATATTACTTTTAAAATTACTTATTATTTTTTTTTAAAGTATGGTACTAACGACGAGTGTATTTTTTTTTAAAAAAAAGTTTAAAGATGATTTTGAAATTTTTTTTAAAAAAAAATCAAACGTTTGAAAAGTCATTGTTATTTTAAAGTTGAAGGGTAATTTTTAAACCCTTTTGAAAATTCAAGGGTGAACAAAATGTTAATGGTAATGATATTTTTAGATTTTTTTTTTTTTTTTTTTTTAAATTCGAGGGATTATTGAAACTTTTCAAACTATATTTTTATTAATTTAGCATTTTAAAAACCATAAACAAATTGGGGCATAGTAGTTGGGCTTAGGAATAAGAGAAAAATTGTCATAATCGTGGACCACTTTGGGCTTGGGCCCAAAATATTATGACCATTATGACCCAATTTGACATACTTGATTGGATGGCCACGATGAAAACACTTCACATTATTTAAGATTTACCTAAATCCAAATTTTTTAAGAATGTGAAGAGCCTATAATATTAATCTATGTCAGAGTTGGCCGGTGCAAAGATCATCATTGATATCGGGAGTTCGAAAGGAGAAAAGACGAAGATAGAGTGAAAGAAAGGAGCAAAGATGCTCTACCGAGTTCTCAAGGCTTCAAAGAAAAGACTTAACGGAGTAATCCCTTATCTCATATCATAAATGCTACGAGGCGCGAGAATCGAAATGTACCACTAGGTTGCCTTCTCCTGAATCATATGATGACCCTAAACAAGAAAAAATTGCTTTTGATGTGAGATTCGCAGGATTTGATTTGAGTTGTTAAAAAACTCGAGAACTTGAAAATTTTGATCAACTAAGCATAGTCCCTATGGTTTAGGTTGAGTTATAAACTAACTTGAGTTGAGTTAGATTCAATAAATAAAAAGTTGATGCATTTCTTTAGTTCATGGTCCCACTAGATTGGGTTGAACGCACCAGCTACATGGACCCCTTCCTTTATGTTGTTGCCCGTGCTTTCCCGGGCCAAGCCGAAATTCTTTGTGAGAAAGGGCAGACAAAGCCCAAAGACTGCTATCCTACCTAATAGGCCAAGAATTCCAATCTCGATATCCTTCTCCCCGGTCACATTCAGTATCCTTGGTTGAAAAAGGGATTGGATAAGGCCCACACGAACCTAACACAAATTAATATACTAATATTTATTTAATATTATAATTATTATTTATTCTCTAAATAACTCTTAAAAAATAATTTTTAACTCCGTAAAAGATAATTTTTCAAAATATAAATGGTAAATTTTAACAAAATGTTTTAAAAAATAAATAAATAGAAGTTTTATGAACGGATATTTTACGTTTATACAAAATAAAATTTTAAATAAATGACCCGAACAAAAAAAGATTATATTACTTAAAAAAATGGAAAAAAAATGGTTTATTATTTTTCTAACTAACCCTTCATTTCACCTTATATTATTTTTAGCCACTTTTCAAAAGAGCCCTTTAAAGTTACGTGAATTTTCCAAAAAGTCCCTTCAATTGTCCGGCCTTCATTTTCCATTTCCGCAGTCTGTTCTGCTCTGCTTGGTATTCCAATGGAAGACGACGAAGGGGAACTGCTCCTATGGAAGTCGGATTCAGCACCTCAATCCATGGTCTCAGTCACCGTCGGCAGAGTTATGGCCACCTTACTCGCGGCTCGCCCAAAGAAGCTTCACGACGCCGTTTCCGGTCTCTCACCCGACCACCGCCACGGAGCTTCACTAGGTTCTTCTCTCATTTCACTCGCGAGTTGTATTCCTCTTCATTTGTTTCATTTTTAGTATACTTTAATGTATTGCACCGGTTCTACAGATTCTTTGGATCAATCTCTCTGGTTTCTGCATAAGTATGTCAGGGACGCTGTTCAAAACCATGCTTCTTTAGATGAAATCCTCGTTCCAATGATTGAACATGTAATCTCATTCATCTTTTTTTTCTATGTTTGTAAATAAAATATGCGACTCAGTCTGTAAAAATTTTAAGCATAATCGTGCAGACGTTGAGATTCAAGGATAAGAACTGGAAGCGAGGGGGCCAAGTTATGGTGCTTCTTAACTGGCTGTTCCTTGACGAGCTTACTTTTCAATCGCTTATCAAAAATCTTGCTGATATTATTGTGAGAAAGGATGATCGCTATGTCGCCCTTGGCTGGTGTATCCTTGTTCGCAGTCTTGTGGAGTTCGAGTCTGTCCCTAATGAACTTTCATTGAACGGTGCGCATTAAAATTTCTATGTGTATTCATAAACTAACACGCCGTTAATAATGTCCTCTATTTGGTATCGTCTTCATTTTTGTTGCTATTTATTTTCTTTTTGGATAGGGTTAAGGGAGAGATTCAAGGATATGTTGAAGGTATTCTCTTCGTGCATTCCACGCCTGACATGTATTTTAAGTAAAGGAAGGTAAATTCCTTCTCATAGTCTTACCAAGGCTGTCAGCCCCTGCTTTTCATGTTTATTTGTCCATTTTGGTTTTATATTTTTGGATTGCGCGTAAACAGGCTGATGCTTCAATGCATACCATATTTTGTCATTAATATGTTGTCATACTATTTTTCAAGACAAATCATCCCTTTACTTCTCGCTCGATGTGTGTTGAGATATAATATTTGGATAATATATTAGTTATGGAATATATCTTAGATATAATATCTTAATATTTTTTCCTTTATGATTTGATTTGTAGTATATTTTATTTTATTCTCAATATTTAATTAGTTTATATTTTAGGTGTTAGTTGGTAGCTTGTATCCTATGTAAAGGTTATGAATATTAATGAGGAGACATACCTTCGATCCCAATTCTATTTCTCATTCTTAACAATGTGGAAGTGGGTTATCTACTTTTGTTTGCGTTCTCACAAATCATCCCATATTTGTTTTTACATCTCACATATGATTTGATTTTGCAGTATTCTACAGGAAGGGTTTGAGTTACCTTCTCGCCTTTCGGTTTGTGCTGCCGATTGTGTAGTATCCCTTACTAATGCACTGACTAGAAAGGCTGAGGCTCAAACTAGGCAGAAAAGATTAAATGCAAGTTCATCATATCAGCAAGTTACTTTATTTTCAAATGCTGTTGATGACCAGCGAGAGAAACCAATTAGTAGTTCTTCAAAAGACTCAAACTTGGACATGGAATATTTACTCTGGGATCAATTGAAGGATCTCTTGATTTTAGTACAGAGGCTTCTTGCAGTATGTTTCTGTTTGCATGTTCTCTTCTTCTGTTTTGCATGGTACGATTTTAATTTATGACATGTTAGTTGGAACACATGCTTGCTGTTTTTATTCCTGTTAGCGATGGCTCTTCTGCAGAAAAAAACTAAAAAACATATGCAAAAATTATGCATGTCCTGACAAGTGCATTTACACTTCTCATGTGTATTTTTATACTTTTTTAGGTCAAAATGTAGTATATTTCAATTTCTTTAAGTGTCTAATTTAATGTGGTTGGGAACTCTAGCATGAATAATTTGGTATCTAACACTAACAGTGGACGTTGACTCCAGAGGTGAGTTGATTTAATTGTACTGATATACTTCCTTTGCACTCTAGTGGAGCATGAAAAGTCGGCCATTGCATGCAAAAGGTTTAGAGCAAGTGCTTAAATGGTTGCAAGAGATAAATGTGCATTATGGTAGCTTCCGAAATGAGGCAGGTCCTACACCCAGTAAATTATTCAAAGCATATCTTATTTGATCACTTAATGCTCTATGTTAAATTATTGGTTTGGTTTGCCATAGGGAAGGAAAAAGCAAAGATTTCCCAAACTGGAGCATTGCTACTTTCTTCTTGTTGGAGGCACTACAGCATCTTATTATTTTTGGATGATTGCCGATTTTCTCAGCATTATGAAGAATGGTTGAACCAGTACTTGTCAGGCATTCAGGTTGAGTATTCTAAATCTAGTTTTGATGATTTACGTTAAGATACTTATAAGATTTTAATTTTAGGTAGTGCAGTTTGTTTGTAGTTCAAAAATTGGATTTCCTATCCAGGGGTTACTTTATTTTGTATGTTTGCCTCAAGTGTTTTTCCTTTCTTGTCTGCTTGGTTTTGTATGTAAATATCATGTAAATCTGTGAATTTTTTTTCTTTTATTTGGAGAAGAAATGTAAAAGTTTATTTCTTCATGGATCAGAGTTCATCTGATATTTCTTAGTCTTGTCCTGATAGTTGATGGTTCCTCATTTCTACCACTGTTATTGGTAGTAACTGACACTATGGTGTATATCCCCTTCTGTAATTTTCTTCACCATGTTAGATAGAACATGGTGAAAGTGAATCCTATAACAATTGAGCCAATCAAGTCCAAGGCATTAGATAAATTTGAAATTAAAAGCACAGAACCAGGCATCAAGTACCCAAATAAATTATACTTAGTTATAGTTATGATCTAACTATTACGGGGTTTAGGGTTGGTACCTTTGTTCAGGATTCTATCCTTCGCTACTTCTGTTGAAATGTCTGATTCGTTGTTCTTGGAGATTATGAGCAGTTGTAGGCAAGCCTTCAGACGTTATAGCATACTGAATAATGGGGCAGTGATGCATCTGTCCTACCCTCTTGAGATGTTAATTTGACTATTACTGCTTACTTGTGACATGAGGCTATTCTAAGAGCATCAAAGATTATAGCATTTATTGAATTTGAATTCTGGCCTTCTGAATTTTATATGTAATTTTCTTTCTCAGTATTATTCAGGGCACCACACTGGGGAAAGTGTCGGAAATAAGGATGGTAGAGAGACCATTATTTTTTTCCTGAATTGTTTATGCCTTCTATTGGGCCGGCTTGACAGCAAAAAATTTGAAAGTACAGTATCAGAATATGGATCTCAGATTTCTCAGGTTCTGCTATTGCAGGTAGTTATGCATTTAAACATTTTAATCTGCAATTATAATACCTGAAGAATGACATAGAGACTTTCAACTTTCAATTAAATGCATGCTCAACTGTCAACTCTTTCAAAGAAAGTTCTATAGTATTCTAGCGCCTTGTATAAGCTGCTGTAATTGTATGGTTAGTTTGTAACCAGCATGGATTAAAATATTGGCGATGCCAAAACTCACCTATTGACAATGACATGAAGATTCTCCCTTCATATTGCGATATTATCACCGATATTTTAAAAATTTCGATGATATATCAAACATTGGCCACATCTTGCTTATAATTTTGATATCTACTTAATGCCCCATAGGCATGTTCAGCTTCTTGACTGCACCGTTAAAAAGTTAAAAGAGTTAATTGTTAGAGCTTTTATTTCCATAATCAGCCATAAGAAATTAGAGACATTACAATCAAATAGAGATCAACCATGAAAACATTTAAAGAACAATAGACAGTTCCAAGAGCCTTGTCGTCTGAAAATCAAAAGAACACAATGAGAGCTTGCAAACCAATGTTGAAACAAAGAAGGAAGACATCACAAACCACTAATAATTAAAGACATCGACAAAGGGCTGACTTCTTGCAAAACCAATATCCTCTCACTGGTTTGTAAATTTTATACTGATGATAGTCCTGGAACCCCAACATAAAATTACCAAATTATCATAGATTCACATGCTGACTATGCCATGGTGTAGAAGACAACCAAAAATTTCCAAATTGATCTGTGATATATGTACATATAATCCATCGTGCCATCAACTTTTCTTGCTTGCCTCTGCCAAACGTCAATTTGTCTTACTTTCTCAAACGGCTCATCATTCTAATATTCTCATGTTGTGTTGAGTGATCAAATACAAAAGTTAGTCAACAACTAATAATAACTAATAAACCAAGCAGAATACATAAGATTGGTAGGATCATTTTTTATTGCTGTCCTTTCATCTGCATTCAGGACATTTACCCCAGAATCAACCCGAATGATTTCTGCAAACAGCTAAGTTACATCACTTATCCAAAAACATGGAGACCTTCAACTGAAGCTTTTGAAAACTTTTTTCTTTTAGAATCATTAGAGAAATTTCACGCATCTCAAGGTCAAAAGTTTCAATCAGAGAGGCTAATTTGTAAGCTTTGAGGAGGGAGGAGGATGAGGAATTTGTTTGTCACATTCTTGAAATATAAGACTTCAAAATCAATATCATCAATCTTATTTTCCATAGGCTGTGAGATTGATTCCATACTTCTGAAATCAGAATCTTTGTTAGAATGTAAAGGAGATTAAGAAGGTGAGATGTCTTTTTGTCGAATGAATGTCTCCTTTAGTGAAGAAAAACTTGGATTTGCTGAAGATAATTTTTAGCTGGTTGGAAGATGTAGACAAAAAATTCCTTGCTTTTAGTTGAAACCTTCAATGAGGAGTCAAGATCTGAAGTACTTATTGCAATTCTAAATTATCTTGCTATTGTTCATATTAATTTTAGAGAGGTATATATCTTTTATAATACCGGCTAACTAATACATACTACCCCTTCTTTAATTTCTCCTTGATATTATGATTTGTCCTATCATAGTGGATAAGATTATGTGCTATATTGATAGCTGATTTGTTGTCACGGTACAACTTTACTGAACCTTCTCTCTTAATCAGCAAGTCATCAAGGATTATTTTCAACCATAAGAGTTGACGTAGCCCTTGTGTAGTAGCTCAAAATTCTTATTCAGTCGATTACCTAACCAATGCATTTTACTTTTTAGTCCCCCATGTTACCAAATTACCTCCTACAAAAGTACAATATCACGTAGTAGATTTTTTGTCCACTATTGATCGAGCATATTAAGCGTTGATGTAAGCTTCCGATGCAAGGGAATTATTCTGTTTGGACAAAATTCCTTTTTTGGACGTTCCTTTCAGGTAACGTAACACTCTATATGCTGCCTCAAGATGAGTTTCTTGCAGATCATGCATAAATTGGCTAATTACACTCACGGAATACGTTGTCTGATCGAGTGTGAGCCAGATACATAAGCTTCTCCACTAACCTCTAGTACATTTCTCTGTTCACCACTAGTTATGCTTTTGACTCTCCCAATTTCTAATGTGGATCCATTGATGTGGGTGCAGGTTTACATATGTTTTTCTCTGTTTCCATCAATAAATCCATCACATATTTCTGTTTGAGTATGCGACTTCAATACCAAGTACTTCAGCCTTCCAAGTTTTTTGATCTCAAATTCTTTCATCAATTTCCTATATAAGTTCATTTTTTTCTTCATCTTATCTCCGATGGCTAATTTTATCTACATACACTAGAAGCATTGTTACTCCCCTTGATTTTGAGTGCTGGATAAAGAGTGTGATCTCCTTGACCTCACTTATGTCCAGTCTTTCATGATGTGAATCTTGCAAACCACGCCCTTGGTCATTGTTTAAATCCATATTGGACCTTTCTCAATTTGCATACTTTCCTTCTTGAACTTTCAAATTCTGTAGGAATGCTCTTGTAGATTTCCTTGTCTAGATTACCATGAAGGAATGCATTTTTAACATCATACTATAGAGCTGCCAATTTAAGTTGGTAGCCAAGGATAACAATATTCTTACGGTGTTCATATTTGCAATTGAGGCGAATGTCTCTGGGTAATCTATGCTGTAAGTTTGATTCTATCCCTTAGCTACTAATCTTACCTTGGATCTTAACTTCTTATTTACAGTGTAGTCAGCAAGGATTGTGTCAGGAAGTCATAAATATAACAGGGTGCACTTGGTAGTTGAATTTTTTAAATAGGGACCATCCTGTCTTTCTAGTTACTCTTAACTGTTTTTTTTTTTTTTGAAAAATGAATAGTTAAAAAAGTTTTCATTGGCAAATGTGAAAGAGTACAGAGGGACATAGAAAAAAACAGTCCCCTCAACCAAGGGGCATACAAGAAAACGAGGCCAAACAAGAAGACATACAAAACAACCATACAAATAAGAGCTCCCATCTAAGATAGGCCTAAAGGATGGATCAAGAAATTATTTTACTGGTTTCCACTCTGGAAATTGCATAAGAGACGCCAATTAGGATGAAAAAGTATCTTCTTTGGTTTCTTGAGTTTCTAGACTAGAAGTTACCAATCGCTTCGTTGTATGATGCATAGATCGTATACTGATTACTTTGCTTCAGTTTTTCTATAGTAAGAAACAAAACTTTTTATTGAAGAAATGAAAAGATACTATTGCTTAAAAGACAAAACAACACAAAGCAAAAAAAAAAAAAAAAAAAAAAAAAAAAAAAAAAGACTTATTTTACTTTAATATTGTGTTTATGCTTTCTTGCTTACGTTTTTCTTTATGTGTTCTGTTTTTAAGTTCCATAGTACAGATGAAGATGTTATTACCGAGGTTGTTAGCATATTTAAGGCGGTTTTTCTCAATCCAAAACTTTCTTCTGGAGACAGCATCACTGACATTAGGCAGCTGGACGTTGTGATGCCATCATTACTTAACCTTCTAGATGAGCGGGATGTCACAGCTAGAGCTGTCATCATTCTCATTGCTGAATCTTGTTTAATGTAATCTCTCTCTCCTCTATGATTAAGGAGTTCATTATCTCTTTTGGTTTCACTTTGACTTGCTGGGGTTTGTCAGGAGCAGAGATAATGATCAGTTCCTTTTGGAAGTCTTCAAGCGATTTGATTCTGATAGTATCGTTCAGAGAAGGAATGCTATTGATGTGATATCTGAAATTGTTCAGATGTCATCAAATAAAAGAAATTTACTTACTCAGTCAGCATGGTAATATGCACAAGCTTTGCCTTAATTTTCATTTTTCCTAGATTAGATATTTAGTGCTGTAATAACTTTTTCTGTCGTTAATTACTGCAGGCAAGATATAGCTAAACAATTAATCAAGTGCCTGGAAGATGAAGAAATTCTAATTCGTAAACAGGCTGCTGATTTGCTTCCTTGCATTGGTTAGTTTTGATGTTTGCTGTAACGCCCTTAATTTTTCTTAACCTAATTAGTTTTTCTTAACTTAATTAGTGATGTTACCTTGTATTCATAAGATATAATGCGGAAGCTCATATAAAATAACTTTGAAATAACGGCATGGTCTAACCTATATAGAAAAATTAAATGCAAACGTTTACTATTCAAGATAAAATTCAAACAAAACATCTACCGTCCTATAAAGCCCCCATTCCAACTTCCTTGGTCTTCACAACATCCACTGTCAACCGTGCATGGGAGCCTTGCCTTTACTTGAAAAATAGGGTAGCACGTGGCTTGAGTATTTTAAGATACTCAATAAGTCACCCCACGGTTGGGGTTAGGTATACAATACACATACAAAATACATGCAAAATACGTGTAAAACACGTGTAAAACATGAGTGGGACTTGTCTTTCATTTACCTTACATGGCCTTAGGCTCCTTTCTTATCCGGGCAGGGTGGATGTGTAGTACTTCTCCACACACGGCCCACATACGCGTTCATGGGCCTACTATTAGGAT